CCTTTTGAGTGCTTAGTGTGTAACAAACAATTTACGACAAGTGGAAATTTGGAAGTCCATCTTCGAACCCACACAGGAGAGAAACCTTTTGAGTGTTCAGTGTGCAAAAAGAAATTTCCACGAAGTGATGATTTGCGAGTTCATCTCCGAACTCACACAGGAGAGAGACCTTTTGAGTGCTTAGTGTGTAACAAACAATTTAAGTCAAGTGGAGAATTGCGAGTCCATCTCCGAACCCACACAGGAGAGAAACCTTTTGAGTGCCCAGTGTGTAAGAAGAAATTTGCACAAGCTAGTCATCTGCAAGTCCATCTCCGAACACACACCGATGAGAAACCTTTGTGTGTAACAAGAAATTTTCACGAAGTCATCATTTGCTAGTCCATCTCCGAACCCACACAGGAGAGAAACCTTTTGAGTGCTCAGTGTGTAACAAGAAATTTACATCGAGTTGTAACCTGCGTGCCCACCTCCGCCGATACCATACACAATAGAGGATCCCCTTTCATTTTATTGTGGGCAATAGGAAATGCACATATCTCAAGTGGAGCATTGCGAGTCTACCTCTTATCCCCCACGGGGGAGAGAATCTGAGTGCCGTGAATTATAAACTCAATCGGAACCTCTAGATTGTGAAGGATCCTAGTCGCCGCCACTTTCTTTTCAAATCGATCGATAGGTATTACCTCTTGTGCATAGCCCTGAAGTACAGACTTTTTGTTTTTGGAAAATATACTTTTGGTTCTGAAATAATTTGTTTTGCTTGCTTTTTGCGCACCCCTCCCCCATTTTCCTCTCCTTTCTCGTAGCGCTCGCTCTATCTAGTCGCCGGAGCCTTTTATCTCGTGGCGTCACCTGACCTGCCTGCGCTACACTCGCCAGGTATTTCCGGCCGGCCGGTCGCGCTGCAATAACCGTTTCCTACTTTACCTCGCCGCCCACCGGACCCACCGGGCCGAGCACGGCACTACGCCTTGTCTTGGTGTGCGTCCGCGCCGTCATCATATGGTCCAACGGGTCCAGGCCGTATGGCCGCGTCCTTGCGGGTGAATCACCGTGCCGACGGCGGCGCGGGGGGTCATCTCAGGAGGAGGGGCGGCGGGGAATTCCCCGTAGGGCTGCTGCAACCAGCAGGCCCGTGTCGCGCGCGCTGTTAGGGTGACCGGTGCAGGACGACATCCCCGCCCTCATCTCTGGCGGCTCGCGTGCGAGGTCGCGTCTGCAGGTCTGTGACGCGCAGGGGTCAGCAGGCGGGCCGGGCCAAGTATATGGTCGTTTCGATTCCGGGAAAAGTGCAGCGCCGCGTCGTGCGGTGTGGCGCGATGTGAGGGGCGGGGCGGGTGAATCACCCTGGGCCGCGGCGCGCACACGCGACAGGGTCCAGCGGCGTGGCTCCCTTGAGGGCGCCCCACCCCGCCTCGTCCCGCCCCGCCTCGCCCAGTTTCACATAATTCACGCAACAGCCGCCCAAGAATGCAGCGCGCGACGTGCAATGCGTCATGGGCAGGCTCCAGTAGTAGCTGCCCGCTGGCTCCAGGACTCCAGGTAGGGCGGCGGCTATGGCGGCTCCTGGAATATTACCTCCAACTCCAGCTGCTTTTCAAAGGGCCGAGCAGCGGCCGCGCCTCGGTCCTATAGCTGCCGCCGCGGCTGATGAGCCCTTCATTGATTCAGCTCCCGCTGCCGTGGGGCTTAAGCGACTGAAGAATATCCACGATCCATCACAGCAACAGCCTGCGCACGCCTCGCCGACGCTGTCGGGAGCCCTTCCACCCCCCCCTCCCCTCCCCTACTTCGTTCGCTCTCCACGCTCGTGCTCCGCCGCACAAAGGGCGCGAAAGGGATATAAGCGGGATAACGAGATCGCGGTAATTTTTCTCGCCAAGGAAATCGAATGTTCTGTGCCGACTGACGGGGGCCATATGGATAGGGCCGGCTGCTAGGACCCCGCGAGCAGCTCCGGATTAACGTCCAGGAGTGGAGCCCAGTCGCGAGC